CGGCGCCCGGCTCTGAGCGCTGAGCCGAGGAGGCGGCTCCTGGCGGGCGCCGCGTAGTTCCCTGTGAGTTCTGCAGGCGCAGGGGATGCAAATCCTGTTTTCCCTCCTAATCCCTGTGAACCCTTCGCTCGGCCTCGCCAGGGCACCGAGTTACCGTGGGTGTTTGTCTTCAGGGGCCATGGGCAGCCTCAGAACGGCGCCTTCGGCAGAGTGTTGGGGAAATGGTGTGCCACAGCCTCGGATGTGCTGGAGGAGGGGCAGCAACTGGTGCACGGGGATATTTGTGTTTGAAGTCAGTGTGTGTGTGGCGTTTGCCTTAATTCGGGATAAACGGAGCACAGTTGTCTCCAGTGGTAGATGGCGTGTTCTTGCTGGGGATTTGACAGGCTGAGAGAGTTGGGGCTGTTCAGCCTGGAGAAGAGAAGGCTCCGGGGTGATCTTATAGCAGCTTTCCAGTACCTAAAGGGGGCCTGCAGGAAAGCTGGAGAGGGACTTTTTCCAAGGGCGTGTAGTGATAGGACAAGGGGCAGTGGATTTAAACTGAAAGAGGGCAGATTTAGGTTAGATATAAGAAAGAAATTTTTCACTCAGAGGGTGGTGAGGTACTGGAACAGGTTGCCCAGAGAAGTCGTGGCTGCCCCATCCCTGGCAGTGTTCAGGGCCAGGTTGGATGAGGCTTTGGGCAACCTGGTGTAGTGGAGGGTTTCCCCGCCCATGGCAGGGGGGTTGGAACTGGATGATCTTTGAGGTCCCTTCCAACCCAACCATTCTATGATTCTATGATTTGATGTCGGATTTGGTCACTCGGGTTCTGGTAGAGCCCTCATGTTTTGACAGGTTTCCTGATAATGTTGCTGTTGTTGGACTAAAAGACACCCTAGGAGAAAGCGAGTTTGCAGAAAATAGTATTTGTCGTCCTCTTATTCCAAGATAAATAGGGAAACCACAGTTGTTTTGAAGGACTAGTTAAGGTGAGATAGTGATTGGAAGGAGAATGGGTTATCCAGAATGTGTAGAAAGAGATTTTGGTTATTGCTTTCTGTACCTGGAGGGAATTCTCTGTCAGTATTGATAAGATACTGGAAATCAATTAGAAAGCAAACATGAGGAAAATGAATGGGTTAGCATTTTTAGTAGCTTTTTAAGGGATTTTTGTTCAACCATTTTTGCTTTGAAGGTTTTCTGAGCAGCATGAGTTCAAAAAGCCAAATGATGACCGTGCCCTTCATCTGATGACCAAATGTGCCCAGACAGTGATGCAAGAGTTGGAGGATATTGCTATTGCTTATGGACAAAGTGATGAATATAGTTTTGTTTTCAAAAAGAAGAGTAAATGGTTTAAAAGAAGAGCAAGGTAAGAGTTGCTTTGATACTGAAGTGAACTTGTTTTTAACATCTCTTTCTAAACCTGTAATTCTTTAAATTTGCCTTTTATCTACATAGAGAGGTTAGGAGTAGATCTGTGTTTGAGTGCATACACTAAAATTAGTTCAGATTCTTCATATGAACTCTTTGCATGTGATCTTTCAGAAAAATATGTTCAGTGATAACAGTTTTTTTTTAAAAAAAGCTTTGATAAAACAAATGTTGCCAGAACAAACATTCTTTTAACAAAGTGTTCCATTATTTAAGAAACGCTGCTGTCCACCAGACTTATCACTACTGATACCTCAGATAATCACAAGTACAGAAGCATATTGATGTATTTCTTTCTCTTTCCTTTCGTTTTGTGTTTGCAAGTAAGTTCATGACTCATGTGGTCTCCCAGTTTGCCTCAAGTTACGTTTTCTATTGGAAGGATTATTTTAAGGACCAGCAACTTCTGTACCCACCAGGATTTGATGGACGAATTGTGTTGTATCCCAGCAACCAAAATTTAAAGGACTACCTCAGCTGGAGACAAGCAGATTGTAAGCGTTTCTAGAAAACGGAGATTTGTGCAGTTGAGTTCTCTTCCTCTCTGAGTAGAAATGCCTTTATTGCCAGTGTGTTTGTATATGTAGGTATCAGGGAAAGAACAGCAGGTAGGGTGGTAGTTTATTTAATAAACAGTATTAGAGTTGTTTTGGGCTTTGTATGGATACAGAAATACCAGCTGAAATTCTGAGTCTTCAGACTACAACTATATTCGTTGCGTCCTGGGACTGAGTTTGGCATAGGAAATATTAGAATTATTAATAGAATTAATTTATTATGTTTTTTTGTTTCGAGTTTGTTTAGCCAAGGGAATCTTCTCTAATGAAGAGATGTGAATGTTCAAATTCACACCAAGTAGCAATCAAAAGTGCTGTGTATTCCATGCTGGAACAGACCATTGGATTTACTTGCTAGACTTTTGTTAGTATCTAGTCCCTGTTGCTCAAATGAAGATAATTTGCATTACACATAAACACTCTTCACCCTCTGCTCTCCCTTTTCAGAATTATAATGAAATCTATCTTCTAGTCATTCTTATGCTATGCAGTACCTTAAAAATGGATCAGAAAGATTGCGTCTTCTCTAGCAACTGATATTATTATTTCCCCTTTATTCTTGGCTGTTTCTTGGATATGACTGAAAATAAAGCTGTGTTTTCTGATTAGTCACTCAGACTTGGTAAATACTCTTTCTCTCACTCTTCTTCTGTAGGCCATATTAATAACCTTTATAATACAGTGTTTTGGATGCTTGTACAGCGAAGTGGTTTGACACCAGGGCAAGCGCAGGACAGGCTCCAGGTAAGAGTCTCTTGAGGTTGTGTCTTTTCTCCAGGTACAAAGAAAATCATGAGATTTTCTAAGCTGTGTCTTGCTGACCCAGCAGCCCTAGCTGGCTTGTCTGTTCTTATTGTAATAATTTTGCATGTTTGTTTATTTTCTGTAAGAATACTTTTTCATTTGCTCTCAGGGAACTTTGGCTGGAGATAAGAATGAAATCTTATTTTCTGAATTCAACATCAACTACAACAATGAACCTCTGATGTATAGAAAAGGAACTGTCTTAATATGGCAGAAGGTAAAAAGTTGTATTACCACTTGCTTCATGTTCATGTTTTAAATGGGTACGCTGTGGCAGACAAGCTACACTGTAAGATCACCAGATGTATCCCAAACGTGTGTCTATGTATAAATATATTTTAAACCAAACCGTACTTGCCATATATAATCATGTGAGATTACTAATTGATTTGGAGATGTTTTTGAGATATTTAATATAGTAAAAATAGTCTCATAGTGAGTCTCAGAGACTCATAGTGTAAAAATGAGTCTCTGAAGCCCGGCTTAGATACAAATTATGACTCTTGAGAAAAAACGTGTGTCGACAGATGACAATGTGTATGTAGAATTTCACAAGACTGATGTATTTGCTAGATAAATCACCTGTGCAGTGAATCGTACAGTTGGTTTCTTAGTGTTACCAGCTTGGAAAATTAGCAAGTATTCTGCTTCCTGAAAAATTACATTTTAATGACTGCTGTCAGTTTGATATGGTAATCATTGGGGCCTGTGCCAGGCCCTTCACGGGATTAGATCCCAAGCATTTCCACTGTAAAGGAATTAGGAACTCTTGTTCAGTAAGGTAGCTCAGCTCACAGTGTGGTTAGTCCTTTTCTATGTCTGGAAAGGAGCGTAGGAAGGAGGGCAGCTGTTAATGGGGAATTCCTTTTAATGGTAACTTGGAAACATTCATCATTCTAGGATTACATCATTTTTCCAGAATTAGTGGGAAAAATTAGTGTCCTGTGTTTTGTATGAGATGAGACTCCAGAAAATCATAAATGTTTATGCCTTACTGGCCTTCTGTACTAGGAGATCTTAACTAGAAATATGTGTATCAGGTCCCCCGTCTGTCTGTGTTGAGTTCTCCATAACTTGCTCAGCCTTTTGTCTTCTACATGTAAAAAATTATAATCTTTTCTTTTTTATTTAAATTTTGGCCAACAATTTCTATTACTTCATTTGAACTAAATAGAACTGATAGAGGCTCCCACCTGGAAACATATTTCACTTATTCCTTATGCGTGTTTTTTTTTCTTGGTAATTGTAGACACTTGCAAGGTTTCCTGTTTGCTTTATATAGCTCCAAATTAAATATTGTACTTTATTCATGAATACTTGCAATCCACTATGTGAATTTACAGGTGGTTTCTTTAAGCCATTTGATGATGACATACAGTTCCAACGGCTCATGCATCAGTCTTTAAATTAAGAATAGATTCTTTTTCAAAAGACTCAGTGTTCAAATCCTGTAGTATGCTGTAGGGTTGGTAGTTGCTTTTGGTGTAGCTTTGTTTCTTGTCCATTTGTGAATCTCCTCTGGAGTCTTACATGTCTGCTAATCTTTAAACTGTATTTTCAGATTAATGAAATCATGACTAAGACAATAAAACTGCCAAAAGAAGCAGAAGAAAAGGAAGTTGAAGTGACTCGGACTAGGACTGAAGTTGTTCCCCTGCACTGTGACATTATTGGGGACCACTTCTGGGAGGAATATCCTGAAATACTGGCTGAGGATAGTTGATATCTCGGATGAGTATAACTGGTAGTTTATGTTTTGCTCTGCTTGGGTTCTTGGCAAGTGAGGAGTATGAATGGTGGCTGGCAGAGTTTAACCTGTAACCCTCTTCAGTGACTACACTGGTTTTAGCACTGTTGTTGCCTGAAAAAAAAACACTGGTGTGTTGTTTGACATACAAGGATATGCCCATATGAAAAACCTAAAATCATATTGTATAAGAACTCATCATAAATGAAGACTGCTCCTGCCTTGTACATGCATATTTGTGGAAAAAGCGTATCAAAATTTCTTGCATTCTGTACCATTTAAACCACGAGGTATTCTACTGAACTGCCAAACTATTAATAAGCTTGTATATTTGAACAGTTAAAAGCAGAGAAAATAATTTCGATATTTTTGTTTCTACTGAGATGGACCAGAAGACTTGGATTGGTGTTTAGTGTTAAATTTCAAGGTCAGTGTGTTTAGTCAGATCAGTGGCAAACTGTTCAACTGCCTAATGTCTCTGATTCCTACAGAGAGGAAAGGGAATAGCCCAGCAGTTTCCTGTGACTGATTTTAAAAGCTTTTGTCAAATATACAGGATTTTTATACTTTTTAAAAATAATTAAAAAAAAAATCTTCCCTGCTGTGTTTATCACTTGGCGTTTCTCATTCCTGGGACTTTTACTGGTAATTGGTGAAGGTTTCAAACAGTTAAGTTAGTAATAAAGATGCTGTACAGACTCAAATTCTGTTAGGACATGGGTATATGTACTCTCATCTTCTGTGGCCTGGGAAGTCACCTATCTCCTGTGGTGCAGTAGAGTGAAAGGTGACAACACCAGGGAATGTTCCCGATGCCTGCAAAGGGGGCAGCAACTAGAGCTCACAGTGCTGTTCTCGGACCTTCCTGGGGTTGATACAGACCTAACAGTCCTGACAATACATGTTAGTTAGAGGGAAGAGGAGAGTGAGTGTTGCCTGGTCTGTGCACAGTTTTGTTCTGGACTATCAGTTAAGACCCTTTGTCAAAACAGTTAAACCATGCAGCCTCTCAGGCAGAAATATTTCTGCTCATGTAAAGGGGCTTGTCGCAGTGTAACTGTAATCTGAGGAAGCAACCTATCCCAGTACAGAAATATAGCTATAATGATGTAATAGGTACTTACAAGAATATTATTGCTGCTTTTAACCATACTGGTTTCAAAACCACTGTGCTAGAACAGTAATCTGGCTGGCAAGTTGCTGCTAAGGGATAGTCAGCAGTTGGGACTGGCCATAAAAATGGAAAGAGGATCAAATCTGACTGAAGAAGGTCAGTACTGAGTTAGTTTCCCATGAATTCACATAGCAGCCTACTCTCTGCTTTCACCCTTTTATTCCCACAGGAAGAACCTATACATTTAAAGCAATATGCGTTTTGGTTTTTTTTAAAAAAAAAAAACCACTAAAAAGCTACTGATGTAAAATAATACTTCGCAGCTTCTTCCTGAGAATAAACGATGAGTCTATGCATTTATAATAGCACAGGGCTTCCCCTGTACTGCTGTGTGCTAATACTGAGCAGTTAATTGCGTGCAACGAGAGGATGCATATCATTTTTAGTTTGTGGAATGGGCTGTATAGTTCTCAGAACGAGAGTGTGAGGTATTGGGAGATGATGATTCTGAATGAATCATTCCATCAGTCATTTACCGCTAAGAACTTCCTATCTGTCTCTTTTTTTCTTTCTTTTTTTTTTTTTGTCTTTTAACACAGATGTAATGTGTTGATATGACATATGTTACTATCTGGTACCTGACTTCAGACATTACATATAAAGCAACTGTTCCAGTAACACTTGGATTTTGCAATCTGAGTAAAGATGAAAAAAAAATTTGGGAACCATGATTCATGCTTGGAAAGTATTTTGTAGGGTTTTTTTTTTTAATATATATTAAGCCTACTGATACATAAATATAGAATATATGGACATTGTGTGTGTGTATAAAAAAAAATAGATCTTATCCTCTGAGCATTTTCTAATAAACTCATCTTTACAATAATAATCACTAAACATTCCTGTTTAGATACGGATACAGACTTTGGAACTATGATTATATACAGCCATCGCCTTTAATTTGTATTGATACAAGTGCTAGAGAAAGAAACTCCCTGTAGTATCCTCATGCATAAAGTCGTATGTATGACTTCATAGCTGCCGGGGAAAATAAGTCTTCCCAAGGTTCAAGAAGCAGACTGGTGTTAGTGGCACATACAGTTCGATCTGTGCCCTATGCCTGTGCTTATAGGTGTTTCTGTAGCTGCTGAAATCCTGTACTGTGACTCAGTGAAGAAATAGATGTTTTCTCTCAAGTTGGTCCACAACCTGTGGCTGCTGTTGTGTTGCTGTTACAGGAAGCATCAAACCTACAGGAATCAGTTACGGAAGATTAATGGTAGGTGCTGGAATTCGCTACAGTAAAACCACTCTGCAGCATTAGCACACGTCACCTGGCTTTTCTGCAGAGAAATGCGTCTGCACCCTGAACCCTTTTACGGGTTAAAATTAAAATTCTATTGCAACCACCCTTTGCCCAGGTGCCTTCTAACTGCCTGGGGCCCGGGGCAGGCGGAGCAAGGTGCCTGCTCGGGGCAGCACCCCCAGAACAGCCGGGGGCCCCGCTACGGAGACCAGCGGTGCGATCGCACTGTGCGAGGCGCGGCGAGGGGGCAAACCGCAGTCCCGGCGGGG